AAGAAAGCGCCGTCCCTTCCCCGCCACCCCGATGGGCGCCCGGAGCAGAGGCCGGTGCCCGTCGCTCACCCGGGGTCGGCCTGGGGGGCAGAGCGGCGCAGACGGGGCCGGGCATGGGCCCGGGCTCCGTGTCCGGTCTACACCAGGTCCGGCCCATCTGGATCGCGGCGATATCGGCGTCGGTGAGCTCGCGCGGGTGCACCGCGACACAGGGACCCGGCCCCAGGCTCGGCTCCGGTCCCGGGCTCGGCTCCGGTCCCGCTGCCCGCGCCAACGGCTCCATCTCCGGCGGCGCGCGGCGGGACGCGGCGGCCGCCCCGGCGCCGCCTCGAGGGGACGGGCGCGGGCGGCGATGGGCGGAGAATTGGGCGGGGAGGAAGCTCGCGGAGAGCGAAGGCGAGAGCAGGTCCCTCCCCAGGCAGGGACAGGCTGGGGGGACCTGGTGGCCACCAAGGTGACCTGGGCCCTGGTGGCCACCAAGGCTCACGGGGTCCTTGGCAGCAGGTCGAGGGAGGGCATCCCGCCCCTCTGTTCAGCTCTGGTGGGGCCACATCTGGAGTGACGGGTCCAGTGCAGGGGTCCTCAGGGCAAGAGGGACGCGGAGCAGTGGGAGAGAGGCCCACGCAGGGTTACGGAGATAAGCAGAGGTCTGGAGATACTGCAGACTCTCCTGGGCATCTCCAGCCCCAGCTTCACCTGATGGGGGGCCGGGCAGCAGAGAGCAGCGAGGGGCCACGTGTGCTGACAGAGCTGCTTTTATTGGTGTCCCCAAAGCCATGTGGGGGAAATGCGGGGGGAGCCTGGAGAGCAGGACCCCCCCGGCTCCCCCCGCCGCGCCGGGAGCCGCCAGCACCTAGTCCCCGAAGTTCACAGTGTAGGWCTCGGCCGTGGTGAAGGGCCTCGCGGTGGCCGTGCCCGCCGGCTCTGCCGCCGTCCCCRCCGCCGCTTCCGTGGCCACCGCGTCGTCGCTCTCCGTGGCCCATGCCCCGGCGGTGGGCGGCTCCTGGCTCCGCGGCACGGCCACGGTGCTGCTGAAGAAGGGCACGGCCACGGCAGCGGTGGGCGCCGGGCCACCCGCGGTGCCCTCGGGGCGCTGCAGCCGCTGGCGCTGGCGCAGGCGGTGCCGCAGGCGCAGGCGGTACCGCAGGTACTCGCGGGGCGTCATGGGGCGGCCCAGGCCCGGGCGGCGCAGGGGCCGCCGGCTCTGCAGGGCCATGATCTCGCGGATGCGCTTCCAGTTGGAGCGCGCCAGGGTGAAGTCGCAGCGCGTGGCGCCCAGGTCGTAGAGGACGCTGCAGGTCTTCACCACGGGGTTGTAGCCCTCGGCGCGGGCCGACACGCGGTACTCGCCCGGGTTCAGGATGCGCCAGTAGTCGCCACCAGCACCTGCCAGAAAACAGGGCAGAGGTGCCACCGCGGCGCTGCCCTGTCCCCTCCGCGCACCCTGCAAGCACCCTGGACAGGCAAGGCCAAGCACCCCGTGCCCTACCTGTGCGCACACCAAGCACCCCGCGCCCTCCCTGTGCGCACGCCAAGCACCCCGCGCCCTACCTGTGAGCACACCAAGCACCCCGCGCCCTTCCTGTGCGCACACCAAGCACCCTGCACCTTACCTGTGTGCACAACAAGCACCCCGCACCCTACCTGTGCGCACACCAAGCACCCTGCACCTTACCTGTGCACATGCCAAGCACCCCGTGCTTTACCTGTGTGCACAGCAAGCACCCCACGCCTTACCTGTGCACACGCCAAGCACCCAGCGCCTTACCTGTGTGCACACCAAGCACCCTGCTCCCTCCCTGTGTGCACACCAAGCACCCTACACCTTACCTGTGCACAGCAAGCACCCTGCTCCCTCCCTGTGCGCACACCAAGCACCCTGTGCCTTACCTGTGTGCACACCAAGCACCCTGCTCCCTCCCTGTGTGCACAGCAAGCACCCCACACCTTACCTGTGCACACGCCAAGCACCCTGCGCCTTACCTGTGTGCACACCAAGCACCCTGTGCCTTACCTGTGCACACACCAAGCACCCTGCTCCCTCCCTGTGCGCACACCAAGCACCCCACACCTTACCTGTGCGCACCCCAAGCACCCTGCGCCTTACCTGTGCGCACCCCAAGCACCCTGTGCCTTACCTGTGCGCACGCTGCGCCCCATGCCAGCCACCAGCACGGTGGCGTTGGCGATGGGCTGGCCCTGCTGGTCCGTCACCAGCCCCTTGATGCCCCGGTGCACCTGCGCGAGGGAGGGCAGGGTGGTGGGCGCCGGCAGGGCCCGGGGGCCGCCCGCGGCGCCCACCCCTGCCACCCACCTGCTCCATGAAGGTGAGCAGCGCCTCCTTGTTGTCCTCCCACTCGCGCCGCAGCTCGCTGCCGTGCGGGAACTTGTCGCAGCCCAGGTAGATGGAGAGCTCCAGGCAGTCGGTGTGCAGGTAGCTGAAGTCGTTCATGGCTGATGGGCAGAGCRGGGGACACCGCTGATGCCGTCGCCACCGGCGGCGGGCCCGGCCGTGGCGGCGGGGCATCGGCACTTACTGCCCGCCCGCGGGCGCCACTGGGCGCCCTGCACGATGCCGGTGCCCTGGGTGGCGTCGGGCGCGTGGCAGCCGCCGCGGAAGCTCTCGCTCATGGCCAGGTGCGCCGAGGCGTAGGAGATGGCGAGCCAGCGGAAGACGGCGTGGTCGGGCGTCTCCCGCACCTCGGGCCGCTCGTCCTCCTCGCTGCCCGCGCGCGGCGGC